AAGCCATAAAAAGAATTCAACATCTGTTATAAACATTTTTATCATAAATTAAAAAAAAAAAAAAAAAAATGAACACAGAACATACATTTGAATCAAGTATACAAAATTAATGGTACAAGATGCAGTGCTTCAAACCAAAACACCAAAAAAGTTATTAAAACAATAAAATCAAGATGTAAAGAGTGGAATTGTAAATGGAACAAAAGAGATTACAAGAATATAACACAAAACAAAACATCTCAGTCTCAATAATAATGTGTTATAATGTAATTGAAAGAAGTAGGTTCAATCCATCAGAATTCCACCCACCTTACAGTGTGTCACTTCACTCTTATGTCATATCAAACATACTAGCATAATGGGTAAAATCATAACTACAATGGGTAAACTGGAACTCGACAAATTCGATATAGAAAGGTGATACTTCAATCCATAAATTCAAAAAAAAAGAAAAAAAGAAAAGAGAACAGCCAAGCATTCTGCATGAACAACAACTCCCACTTCCCCCCTCCCAGCAGATTAAAAAAAAAAAAAAACCCAATTCATCTACAAACATACCCAATACACCAGGAACGTAGAAGCACAAAAAAGAAGGCGACGAAGAGATTTAGGGATAGAATTGTACCTTAAGAAACGAAAGGCGGCGTAGAAATGAAGAGAGAAAGTGGGGAGAAGGGAACGGCGGTACTCTTCAGTTGCCGGAGGAGGTGATACAGAGTGAAAACAGAATAAAGGTGGAACTAAGCAAGATCTACAGTTATCTTCTTCCTGTCTCTCGGTATCCTCTTCTCTGCCCTAAGAAGAAGACACAGTGTCGCCGCCCCGGATATTTGCAAAGAGGATTTCGTTTTCCTACTCGTGAGAGAAGTTAAACGACAGTGTTTCATGAGGGAGATTTTTATTTCTTCTTTTCCTTTTTTTTTTTTTTTTTTTTTTAAATGGGATCGTAGAAAATCAAGTCTTCTGGAATGTAAGATGCTAACACTGCAAGAAAGAATTGGATATTAAAATAATTTTATTAAGAACATTAAAATAATTTTATAAGAAATTTGGATATATACGTTTTGATTTTTATCTTTTTCTTTATAAATACTGTTTTTTTATATAAAAAAATTGAAATAATATGAATAGTTAGGACTACACAATTACTTTCCTTTTTAAAATTGTCCCCCCAAAATATAGCCATTTTAGAATGAAAAAAAAAAAGAAAAGAGTAAAAATTAAGATGTTTAAAAAAAAATACTAAAACTCTAATAAAATTATTCGAATATTTTTAATAAATCTCCTTTATATATTCATTCATTTTAAAAGTATTTAATTTTTTTTATTATCATTCTTAATAATTTAATTGGTAAGCCATAATAAATTTAATATATATATCTATTTTAAGAAGAAAAATCTCTCAAAACTATAAACTTATTTTAACCTTAATGGGTGTTTATTTACTGATGGATGTATTGGTGTTTATTGAAACATCACAAATTTGAGTTTTTTAACTCCTAATTTTAGACTATTATTTTTATAATTTGTAAAGCATCTG